GCTGTCAACAGGACTGGATTCTCTATGGCTACAGAAGCAGAAAAAGAATTCTAAAATTCAAGTGCAGCTCTTTTTTTTTTTTCCTAAAGCAAGCACTAACTTAACAAAAAGACAGACTTGAAAGGAGCTGGTTATAAAGCTACAAAATTATTAGGTAGAAATAACTCATTAGAATTGCTAAAATGCCCAACTGTAGTTGAAGACATGGGGAAAAAAATCAGCAAGTGTTGTAACCAAGTAATTGGCAGAACTCTTAGCTTAATTTATAACATATTAAAATTTAAACCTTTTAATGTATTTTAGGACTAAATTAGCAGCAAATATTTAAATTGTAAATTTGTAACAATTTTCTGAAAAAATCTTACTTGTATTATAGTGAGGTTTGAGTATCAGGTTCTGGACAACACAAGGACAGGCTCCTCCAAATCTAATTATTAATGGCATTATTGAGTTCAACCAGATGTTTCACATGGATAAAATTAAGTACACGAATAAATCAAGATCCAAGCACATGCTTAGATTTGACAGAAGATAAGGAAAGGTGAAACAAAAAGTAATGAATACAGTTAATGAAAAACTGTATATCCCTGGTTGTTAATGTAACTTGAAATTTAAAATTCAAAGTGTAACAGGTCTGTTAAATGATCCCTCTGCTGACAGACACATGAATGGGATGCTTCTCACAGCATCTTTCCTCCTGGATTCTGTCTGCCCAAGTTTTAGCCAGCCTCAGTACTAAACCTTCCATAGCTTCCCAAGGTAATCACATAAGACATAAGCATATTTTGAGTGTACAAAATCCAGCTAATGAGCTACATTTCTATTAACAATGTCAGGATTTCAAGTATTATCCTAACGGGTAAGTCTTTATGGAAAGGATGTAAGTGAAAGGTGGCATGCATGATTTAAAATACAAAGCATACTCGTCCTCTCTAAAATTGCAAGATCATTTGCACCTAATCAGCAGCAAATCAGACATTAAACAAGAAAAAAATTAAATTCCAGTATTATAAGAAAAGGAAGACATTGAGAAACAAATCTATTTTTAACCAGCAAAAAAAAAAAAAAATTAGAACAATTTGATCATAAGTTATTCCTGCAAAAGAACTGAAAGTCTGGAAACAGTAGTGTCCATTTAAACAGCAATCTAAGCCAATAATTACAGCTGTACTTTTACAATATTTCATAGAGTCACGAATTAACTTGAAATCTCTCTGGTGTTGCTGTTTCAGGTAAGTTTACCTGGAAACACAGACTGAGCAGATGGCTGGCTCTGGATCAAGGTGGCACAGAGAAAATGTGGAGCATGCAGTTTGCACTCCCTCTACTGGGCACTGGAATTATCCTGAGCAGGCACTCAGAGAAGAAAGGTTCCTGTCTGAGCACTGTGCTACCATGAAATAAAAGCCTTTTTACAGCTCCCACTCTCTTCAGCCAAACCCAGATTCACAGAAAAATGAATTTCAAAACCCTCAAAATGTTTATACCCTCAAAATGCATTTCCTGTCAGAAACCTGACTGACACCCCAAAGAAGGATTTAACTACAGTGAACATAACCCATGTAAGCACACAAAAACTCATTTGCCTTTGACCAATATGTGTAGTCTGTGATTTTTTTGTCCACCCATCTGAAAAAGTAACACCTTGTAAAAAATGCCTTGACTTCTGATCTACTGGGAGCACAGCAGAGGGAATGGAGAATGTGTGGACTGGGCAACTGGGTTGTATTAATAATTATAAAATCTGCTTCAAGGGATTTGTTTCTAGACAGTTAAAGGATAACATTTGTTTTTCTTTTCCCTTTCCTTCCACAGCTCCTGAGAGGCAAGCACAAAACACAGGCTGCTTGTGCTGGCAGGGTGTGAGTGTCACATAGAAATGATGGCCCTCCTTGTAATTAAAACTCTCTGATGGTTTGTGTTCTTCACTCTCATGGAGGAGAAAAGTAAAAGTAGTTATAGCTCATGTCACTATAAACCACTTAAAGTCAAAGTGTCTCACTGTATAAAGTTCTGTGCTTTCCTTCAAGAGACTTTGTATAAAAGGGAAGTTCCCTAAACCTCCAGGAGGTTCTCCTGTGGTTTGAAAAGCAGTTTGACATTTTCATTTTTCAGCAAAGGTAAAAAAGAACTTGAGAGAAAATAACTTGTGCTAATTGTGTAACAGGCTCTGACTGCCAAAGGCACCTGCCTTGGAGGCTTGTGCTCTGTGATATGGAAAATGAAATGAGAAACAATGGAAAGCATGGATGTAATAATAAGGACTGCCAAAAGCACACACCTTGTGAACCAAGCAAATATTTCCTCTGTGGAATCAGGCCACGTAACCACCAATTTCTTGCTCTCAGTGTAATTTATATCAAGCTACACTGCAGGTATATTCATATTAAACTGCAGCATCAAGAATCACTCCAGATATATACAATTATTTGCATTTCAGCCATATCCATGTGTAACTGATCAGCTAAAAGAGAGTAGCAATGACACATGGCAAATGTAAGGCACCCCAGGACCTTTCCTCTTTGAAGTGGCAATTTAAATCTCTGTGGGATCGAGAGTTATAGTGGAATTCACAGTAATAAATCTCCAGTTTCATTGTCTCTCAATAAACTCTTCCCTTTATCAACTTTCTTGATCTCAGTTTGAGGATGGGTAAAGCCTTTACTCCCTCTGTTCCCAGACAGAACAGAAAAAAACCACAGAATAGAACAGATGAAAAGGGGGGAATCAGTCACCACAGAAACCTGGAGATTGAGCACGAAGAAAATGCAGAAACTCCCAGGAGCATGGGCAAGCCCAAGTTTCCAGCCAAGCTGCCAAGTCCCTGCCACTCTGTTTTATATTTGCTAATTAAATAAAACCTCTCTCCCTGAAAGAATGGCTTGCTGTGGTGCAGGATCATAATGACAGTTGAAATGAGCAAGTGCACAAACAATTCACCTTCACATTCTCCAGTTAAGGATACAGCTACCTCAGAGTGCAGAACTGCCATCCTGTCCAAACACAGAGATGGCACAGACCACCCCCAAACCCATCTACATGGGACCCTGTGCACTCAGCCACTGATCCACACTGTCCCTCTCTGCTCCCTGAGCTTTATCTCCAGCTGTGCTCATCCCCACACGTGAGCAGCTCCAGCACTTGTGGTCCCAGGTGCCACCAAATCCCATCTGGGAGCCAGGGCTGTGCAGGACAGCCAGGCTGTCACTACTGCTTCTCTTGGCTTCAGACATACAGAGACAGCAAAACTGGCATGGCAAGAGCTCCAAGGACACGAGGACACCTGGACAAAGCCACAACACCTAACACAGGCAGCAATGCTCAAGAGAAGAGGAGATGTGTGCAGTGTTTCGCATGCTGACATGTAAATATTTGACAGATGGGGATTCAATAACCATGGCCTAAGAGATTCTGTTTATTTTGTTCTACTAGACTCCCAATTTGCCATGTTTTTATGTTTCAATAAAGTCATCTGACACATGAATAAAATATAATTTATGCAGTTTCCTTCTGCTGTACAAAGCTCTCTGTGTTCAGGTTATAAATTTAAAATAGCTCAGCACTAACACTAAATTTAGTTATTTTCCACTGGAGAGAAACCCTAGGAATATTTATATATTGTTTTCAATGCTTAAGTTAACTCAGTCTGCATTGCTTCACTTTGAAAGTATTGTGAACATTATGTGCTTCCTATCTTTTTGTCCTCTTAACAATGGCATTTATTAGCTTTCAAATTAATAAAGTTATTAGTTTTAAACATGCTATAGAAGCATACAGACAGCATTGGTCACCCTAAGTGGTAACAATACCACTGTTAACATACACACACATCACATTCACACACACACATGAAAATCAAGGCTTGAATGTCTTTTATATCTTACAAGAAATATAGCAACCAATATTCCATGCAGAGGTGCAGCAAATGAAGTCCTGTCAAGCAAATGGCAGGAATGACAGCAGATGTCTGGATTCCTTCATAGCTGGTTGCATAAAGGTAGCACACATATTTCACTGGAGACAAAAGCCTCTGACAAGACAGTCTTTCAGTACTTTTCATTCAGAGTTGGCATTTTTGACTGGTGTGGCACATCAGGAAGTGTTAAGATGATGAACCAGATTAATCTTGATTTAGCTTCATTTGTACAATGAAGGCAAAGTCTACAACACTCAGTCGTGGCTAAAGGAGGCTGCACAATTTAGCTCAAAGTGTTATGTCCAGATCAAATCCTTACAATCCAGTAAATCCAAACCAGACTCTAGTCTGGACTCTGACCCAAAGCACTTATTTTCATGTCAAGCTATGCAGTTATTTCATTTCATCACAGCCAACAGAAATTAGTATCATGCAGCTCTGCTTTTTATCTATGTAAACGGGCTATAAACTCCTTTTTGGATCTGAATAATGAATTTGATCTTTCAGCTTCTGTTTACTCACAAAGTCTACCTATTTCACAAGAACTGTCATAGGTAGTTAATCTCTGTGAAATAAGGTTGATAATCTCTGTGAAATAAGTTGGATGCTCTAAACTTTCCTATCATAACCTTAATCACATTAAATGTTTAGTACAGAGTAAATGCTACATAGCAGAGAAATGACTTTCCTCAACTGAGAGACTCTCAGGGTTTAGCAAATTGTGAAAGAACATGAGCAACACAGTGTCTATTGAGAAATATGCACAAAAGAAGCTGAGGACTTAACAGTGTTACACATAAAGCAGCTAAGAGTAAATACAATCTGCACTTACCCACTTCTCTATCCTAAACAACAACAGGGATGCTTAAACAGTTTTGTTCTAATAACCAGGCCCCTGGAATATTATCCAGGTGTTTACTGCTCCTTGAGGGGAGCTACAATCAGCTGAACTAATGTACTTTACAATAAAACCTGTGTTGAAAAGTTTCCCAGGTTAGGGCTTAAGAGAAAGAGCATTTTTCTGTATACAAGCTAAACTTTACTAATGGCCTGCTCTAGTAAAATAGAATTTTAAGAAACTCACCACTTTTCTTTTTCTTGCTTTAAAGGAAATGTCCATTTCCTTGTATTTCCTCATAGCAGTCTCCATTTTATTCTTGAGTTCAATGGCACGTCTTAGCCTATCATCATTGACTCCTGCTCTGGTAAGTAGCTGCAAACCAAGAAAACAACATCCTTATTCTCTTCTAGAAATCTGAGCCAAAAAATATTTCCAGTTTTCCCCCATGATTAATGAAATAGCATCACAAATTCCTTTGTTGTACAAGTGACAATTAGTGAAGCCAATTCAATTTCTATCCAGACTATAAAACTAACAGCAACTAGTGAAGCCAAAGAATGAACAGATATTACAAACATCTTCTGAGAGTGCCCTCCAGTAGGCCAAATTCCATGCAGGAGGCTCCATGACACACTGCTAAGCTGATAGAGAGCTGTCTAACAAAAATAAGCTGTGCTTTACTTTAAGACTTTGCAAAGAAGCCAAGTTTTACCTATCTTAAAAAAAAAAAAAAAAAAAAGAATTGCCCATAGGTACCACAGCCAAGGCTGAGAGCTATCCAACAAGCTCCTGCAGCATCCTTTAGTCCACCCTCACTGAAATGGAAATCTCTGATTGTTCCTGTTTCTTCAACCTTCATTTCCTTGTGGTTCACTCTCCCTCAAACTTTACTGTATCCCAGTCCTTGTTTCACCATCTTTTTACTAAAAAATGAAGAAAAAAAAATTTCTCTCTTTATCCCACCTGAATCCAGGACTGCACAGAAGGCCAGAACTTATTTCTGAGAAGTTTGTGAGCATCCATGACACTGTTTATGATAGCAGTATTGTCTTCATTCTCTTGCACTTTTATATCTGCTCAAAACAGGGGAAAAGAGTTAGTGCATGACATTTATGGTATCTGCACTACAGGAGCTTAAGAAGGCAAATTACTCTAAGACATTTGATCACTTCAGGGAGAGTTACAAACATCAGAATGCTTCTCTACTCAGTATTAATTATTCTATTACTATCCACACACTCAAAAAATCTGAGGAAAATATGAAAAGTGTTCAATCCAACATGCCAGAAAGAGTTGTTTAGCCATCATTATGAAGGAATGACCAAATAAATCACAGACAGGTTCAGTCTTACTATTTTCATTACATCTTGTCCCAAGTTCAAATGAATTATTGTACCAATTTCTTCATATTCAATACAAAATAATCCCTACCCTGGTAGTAACAGGGACTTGATTGTCAAAGAAGCCAAGTATGTTTATCCAAGTGAAAGTTATACTTTTCACCCATTGTTGTCAGCAAAACGAGAAGCAGGTATCACCCTTACTGTCTGCACATGGAATTCCCTTAGGGCAGGAATTGTAAGAGATTTCCAAAACACAAACCATCCTGATTTTTCTACAGGTAACTCACACTAGCAAAGTTATACAAAAATGGTGTAATCTTCCTTGCAAGCAAGTAGTTTTGCTAGGAAGTGAAGTTTCAGAAACATCCAATTTTAAGATTTTAAATTAGCAACTTATTCCCCAGCTACAGAGGGAAAGAGGTGAATACCAGAGAAAGAAATTTGTATTTGATAAACAGATTGTTTTTAAACACAAAAGACTCATTATAGCTACTATGAAGTGCCATAATGGGCTTGCAACAACTATTACAAAAATTCAGTCTTAGAAGGTAATTAATGAAATCTGCTAATCACACAAAAGAACACCCAAAACGAAGAACAGTTACTAGAGGAACCAGAAACAGAAAAATAAATAATAAACTAAAAAAAAAATTAAAAAAAAAATCAAAGTGGTGTCCAGGAATCCCAAAGCAAAATGGTGTCCAGTAACCCCAGCATTCAAGTAACAGAAACAAAACCAAAACCACAAGCACAAAACACTTCAGAGAAAGGATGCCTCCAGCTACATGTCAGAAGTTTTTCCAGGTACCTGTGGAGATTTCAAGGTCTAGAGTATATTTATGTGAAATAAGCCCATGGTTCCTAACAAAAGTCTGGTAATCATCATCATCATCATCATCATCAAGAGCAGGGCCACTGTATCGACCATCTGAGCCTGTGCCTCCATCCAGCTCTTCTTGCTCAGCCTTCTCATCTGCCTCCTTGTTTCCATCAGCTGTAACACACTGAGAAACAGGCAGAATGTCCTTGCTGCAGCAGGGCTGCTCATCATCCATGCACCCCACAGAGGATGGGGTAACTTCTCCCTGGGAGGACAAGGGGGATGCAGGTCCAGCCTCATTAGCAGATGTTTGTTTGCTGAGCTCAGGGTCAATCTCGTTCACCCCAAAATTGAGAGGATCTGGCATCAGCAGCTGGAAACAGTTTTCCATCTCTGTCAGTGTATCAGCAATCTCTTGGGACAGTTCTATCAAGACACAATTTTTTATAAAATCATTAGATACTGTAAAGTGTTAATGTCTCCAGAGCAGACCCAGAGGTACAAAGCAAATATGACTGCCAAAGGGGGAAGCCATTTCTCCACTGACAACTGAGCCATACAGATCTTCCTCTTCTGCAGAAATTGTCCTTATAAAAGTGACAGTCCCTAAGCAGGAAATCTAGAATTTCAGAATCTACATGCCAGACATGTAGAATCAGGGCTCCTCCTTTCCTTAGCCTCTCTAAAATTTCACTATGTAAAGATTACTCAAGTGCTTCATAGAATTTGAAGGAAAATGAGGTTCAGTGAGATATTCTTAGTGATGCTGGTAGGTATTCATTTTACAGCCATGAATTTTATTGCTGTGTGTAGGAATAGCCATGAATGTATGTTATTGCTCAAAGAGATGCTACTGATATAAGTTACTTTGGAAAAGTTAAATCTCTTTAAAATTCCACTATAGTGCATGAAAACATTTCCAGCATGCAGAATAAATACAGACACAATTGCATGCATTACATACACCAAAGTAATTTAACTAAATAACCCTTTAAACTGCAGCATAATATACTTACTACTTCTGTTATTCTTTGGGGTGACAGAAATGTGTCTCTATGCACATATTGCTCAGAGACTCAGGCCCCAGTTACATTTTCTAGCTGCACTGTGACACTTTTCACAGTTAGCCTAAACTGCATCCAGGATTCCTGTGCAGACCATTGCCTGTATTTCTGGAACACAAGGACTGTATATATAAGTAATGCCATAGGCCAACAAGGCATGGGGAAGTCTGTGCCTAACAGAAATTAAGTCACTAGCTCCAAGAAGTCTCATGATTTGTTTACTTGGGGTGATGCACTCATACTTTACTGAATTAGAGACCAGACCTTTACTTGATAACATTTTCTTTCTTTTCCATCTCTTCCTAGTGAACTCACATGACAGTCACTTCTTTCCCTGATATTCTTTAGGTGACAGAAAGGGAGGGCTAGCTCCAACAAATGCAGTATTCCTGCTTTCTGTGCTCAGCTATTATCTGGGTAGCTATTCTCTCAATTTATTTTATATAACCTTTAAAAAGGTTGCTTTAAAAATGAACAAAAACAAAAAATGCACTAAAAGAAGCAAAGCAACCAACCTTCCACTTCTTTTTCAGTTCTTTTGACTTTTTCTTTGTAAATGTTCTCCAGTCGTTTTTGCTTCTCCTCTTCCCTCCTCCTTTCAGCCACAGTTCTGGCATGCACATCCTGAAAATCCACCTAAGGAGGAAATTAAGAAAAAAGTGTAACATTCCTCCTAAGAAATATATAGAAAATCCATTTCCTAAGATCCTTATCTGTGGTGAAAAATCCTGTAACATCAGCCATCAGCCAGAAGCTCAGCAGCATGTCCTTTTATCTCTTCTCCCCCTTGAATCAATAACTGCAGAGTTTTTACTCCTACTAATAAAGGACTGTTGAGAATCAATGTCTTTCAAAAGGAAATCATAAGGTAGAGAAACAAACCCCTTAGATTTTCACATCCAGAGTGCAGGAACAAACAGGGCTTTGGGAGACTTCTGTCACAGCACTGGAGACCAGGAGTGAGGGAGAATGAGCAGGAAGAGACTATGCAGGGGAGATATTAAGATTACATGAAAACATCACACCATGCCCACCAGGAGTTTTAGGAAAATTTGTAAGCACTATAACAACCAGTATGTGTGTGTGTGTGTATAAAACTTAAAAAAGAACTTTGTAAGAAAAGAAAGTAAAAGAGAAGACCTTCAATTTTATTAAGGAAGACCTAATTTGTGATTTTACAATTCCATTGCTGGATTTTGATATTGAGAGAAAAAACATTCAGTCTCACTTCCTTATGGCTGAATTATAAATATTAATCTGAGCAACTCAAAACACTGTTTCTTAAAATATTAGCAATATTTGCTTTGGTGTTTGTTTCTTTTTTTTTTTAAGTTTGGTCTTAGAAGGAATTGAAAACACAAAAAAAATTCACTCCTGTTTTAAAGAAGGGAGGCTTGATTGCATTAATGTGGAAGGAAACCTTTTTGAAAGACACAGAATTTCCTTTGACTGCTACCACATAACTTTTATGAACTGCCAGCCAGACAGTGCTGAGTAAGCCTGCACTTTGCTGACTGTGCAGCCCACAGACCCTCTTGCAATGTCTCCATCACAAGCACTCAGTGAAGATTTGTCATTCTTTCCACTGCTAGATGATCAAGCATGTCAACATCCACTAGTGGCTCTCAACAACCTACAACAAAGTTTTGGAGTCACAGAAATGTTTTTATCTAACAGCTGTCAGAGAAACTGGCATGGAGGGTCTCCATCAGTTTAGGAACAGGCACACTCACCAAGCTGGATTTTCAGTAGGGAATGGGTGGGCAGAAGGGTGGGAGGGAAGGGATCTGGATTCACAAGCTACTGCATCATGCAGAGCACCAGAGTGAGCTTTCTTGGTTTTCAGGACCTGATTTTTCTACAGATTTGCAAAGCTCCCCACACAGAACTGGGAGAAACAGATCCACCCAAAGAGCAACACTGCCCACAAAAGCAGAACAAAGATGCAGAGCCCAGGAACTGCAGCCACCATTTGCTGCTAGTCAGACTGGAGTGCACAGAAAACCAGACACAGCTACAGCCTCCTAAAGCACAACTTCTGCCTCCTGCCAGAGTACCTGCAGTGGAGTCATCTGCCCATCCTTTCCCAGTCTGTACCAAAAGGACCATGAAGCCTTTTATTGCTGGTCTGCAATTATGGAACTCAATGTTTGAGGAGCAAAGAACTGCTCAACTGAAAGGATGCCAAGCAGCAGGCTGAGACAATTACTGCAACTTTTGTGAAAATATTGGAATACAGCAGTACCATGCTCTGTGTGCACCTGAAATCCTGTTCTGTAATTCCATCCATGCATTCCTCACCTACAAAGATACCACAATATGAGTCACGTGCCCAAATATGCAAACACTTGGAAATATGTGGAATATTTTTCCTCTTTATTCTTCTTTTAAACTCTGAGATGGGAGTTTGAAAACAATTACTTTCATGTATACTGAAGCATTATTTGCTCTTGAAGTCAAACATTTATAGAGGCACTTACTTGGTACCTATTACTACAGACCTACTAACATTAACAGAGGGGGAAGTTCTTTAGCTTTACACCCTAAAAGAGCAGCAGCTGTCATCTTCTGACTGTTTATAGAGTCATTTTGGTGATCATTAAGAAAAACCCAATCAAAACCCAACTATGGGCCACACACAGAGCTAACACTCCACCCAAGCTACCCCATACTACTGTGCCAAACCAGTAAAACTCAACAGTGATGTATTTTACCACAAAAAAGTAGAAATGCCTCCTCAAAACTTTTGGTTGCTTCTCACACTTCAAGCATTAAGCTGGCAAAAGGCCACTTGGCTCACATCAAATCTTCTGAGTACAAGAGTTACCAAACTACCTGAGATTGCTTCTATTGATATAAATGTTTGTAGAGGAGCTCAAATCCAGCTGCTCTAGAAAACAGCACAGCTTGTTCAAAACCTGGAGAGGGATCCCCCAGTTGTTACTGGGGAGCAGCCCCTGACCCCAGGAGCACAGACAGACCTGCCACACTTCAGCAGAGCTGTTGTACACTTGTGTGAAACTGTATTACATGTTAAAGCCCCCTTGTCACAGTCTTGCACTTCCTTAAGCAAGATAAGAAAGGGTAATTCAAAGACAATCATATTTTGTGAGCAGATACAAAAATCTGTATAAAAAACCAGCACAGCACAGTTCAGTAGGGAGCACCATTAGCTTACTGTGGAACCAGAACAACAGAAATACTTCCATGTATCACAAAAGCTTTTCATCTGCTGTTAGGAATCTGAATCTGTCTTTGTGAAGAGAAAGAAAAGCAGTATGTTTACTGAAAGCCTGTTATTATCATTGTAGTAGTGTGAATGCTAGAATAGCATTGCAAATTTCACTGTTGCACCTCAGAAGTCAGACTAAAGCAGCAGAATGTTCCAAACACAGTTACTTGAAGTGACATCTAAAAGCTAAGGTTTACATGAAATTTCTCTTCCATAAAAGCTCTTTTCTGGCACAGTAACACTGCAGCTGAGGGTGGCAGGCATGTATACTGGCAAACTTGTACAGTAAAGGGGACCTAGAATGGGGCAGCTCAGTACAGAAATCAAGCTAGTTTAAACTAGCTACAGAAAGATTTAACAGCTGTTTGTCCTCAGTTTAATGCATGACCATTACTGCCCTTCCCAAAAGAGCTAAACCTTGGGGCTCCAGTCAGGAATCAGTGGGTGAAAGCCAGCTAGTGAGCAGTACTTGCACCCTGAAAAAGGCACAGCCCAGCCATGAGTACAAGACCAGAGTTTTAAATACCTACAGTACTGCAAGATGACCAGAAAGCCTGGGGTTTGTTTTCCAAAGACCATCCTCAACACGAGGTCTCCTACGTGCAATGTCGTCCCCTACAGCTTTCTTTTTTTTTAACATTTATTGGTTTCCTTACTTTAAACATCTCCTGGTGATCATCACCTGATACCACACAGTGGAGTAAAAAGCGCCGAGTACCTTCTTGTTCTGCTTTAGGAAGTGGTATCCCAGGGAAAGCTGCTTGTAGGCTTCCCCATATTTCTCGTGCCAGTCCTGCACTGCCTTGATGGCTGCTTTCCTCAGCTTCTGCGCCACCTCCTTGGGCGGGGGAAGCGGCTGCTCGTGGTCTATGCCCACCGTGAGCTCCAGGAGCTCCTGGAAGTTGGAGATGAGCAGCGTCCTGAAGTGGTGGGACCTGGCGAACAGCTCCTGCACCACCTGGAAGGCGGAGAAGCGCATCTCGGCGTGCTCCTCTCGGAGCCGCGTCAGCAGCAGGTGGTACGCGTGGCTGATGTGCTCCTCCGACGACCTGAGCACGGAGAAAACGAAGGAAAAGAAGGAGAAGATATTAAAAAAGACGCTCATTATGTAAAAACGTAAGCGTGGGGACATCATTTATTTAAAATTTTAAGTGAACAGCTTCTGTGCTGGCAGCATCCAGTCGCCGCAGCAGGCCCCAGAAGAGCACTCGGGGCGGCTCCGCCCGGGACCGCCGACCTGGGGACAACAGCGGGCCCGGCTCCGTCCCTCCCTCCGGCCGTACTTGCAGATCTTCTTCAGCTCCTTCATCCTGCCGGGCTCCAGCTGCGGCTCCCCCGACGTGGTGAGCTCCTCCACCAGCTCAGCCAGGCGCTGCTCCATCTCCGCCGGCACCGAGGCACCGGAGCTGCCGGGACAGCCGCCCCGAAGGTCCCTCAAGGCGGGGGAACCCCGGCCGGGACGCAGCAGCGCCGACGGGCCCGACTGCGACTGGGCGGCGCCATCTTCCGGCCCTCAGCGGAGCCCCGCCTCTGAGGAAACCCCGCCCCAGAGGAAACCCCGCCCCTCACGCGGACACGCCTTTTGCATTGACCACGCCCATAAGTAATACGCTCTTCGGTGAGCCACGCCCACATGGAACCACGCCCACAGAGTGCTGAGCCCGCGCTCCTCCCCATTGACCACGCCTCCGTGTGAGCCCCGCCCCTTTGGGGTGCTCCCCCCGCCCCGGCGGGTGGTACCTTCCTCCCCCCCCCTCCCGGCACCTACCATCTCCCCCGCCCACGTGACGTGCCGGCACCCGGAAGCGCGGCCGGGGAAGGGCGGGGGAAGCCTTAAAGGCGCCGCGCTCCGGTTTTGTGTGAGGGGATGTTGTGGTTAACCAGATCCTGCCTGGAGGGGCGAGCAGCCGCCACACAGCGCCCCTGTTTATCATAGAGTCCCTTACACCTCCGAATCATCGACACCAACCAAACACCACCGGTCCAGTCTTTCCTTAAACACCTCCCTGGGCAGCCCGTGCTGAGGTGCGATCAGCCTTTCTGTGAAGAAATTCCTACTAATGTCAACCTAAACCCCCCTGGCGCGCTGTCCTCTCGTTCTGTCGCTGTTTGCCTGGCAGCAGAGCCCGATCCCCTCCTGGCCTCCAGCTCTTGACAGGGAATTGCAGAGATCCAGAGGGTCCCTCCGAGCCTCCTTTGAGCCCCCTCAGCGCCCTCAGCCGCTCCTCACAGCCCTTGTGCTCCAGAGCCTTCCCCAGCCCCGTCCCGATCCTTGGACAGGCTCCAGCACCTCAGGCTCCTTCTCGTCATGAGGGGCCCGACCCTGGACACCGCTCCACCGCCACAAAAGTGTCCCAAAAGTGTCCCAAAAGTGTCCTTGTGTGCCACCCCCACAGGTCCGGTTCTGCTGTGAGACACCGTGAGGCTGCCCTGGGTTCGCTGCTGGCAGAACCTGCAGGTCTGGGTTCCCTGCAGACTCCCAGCTCTGCAAGTGCTGCTTAACCACTGGGAATGAACAAGACCTTGCAGATACCCCCACTTTGATCATCCTAAAGAAAAAAAGACATCTAAACGATCTGTTCCCGTTTGAGGATGTCAGCTAAATGACAGATATTTCCATTAATCCACAGTTCAGGCACGTGTTGGAAGCCGTTTGTGTGGATTGGTGTCGCAGCTGTGCCTGCTGGCTCCTGTGATGGGGAAAGATGGCACTGAACTGAAAAAATTCCTTTTTTCACTAGGAATGGACTGTGAAAAATGCATGTTTTATGATTAGCTTTTCGCAAATATTAAAATTAATAATATATATGTTATGTTAGGAAGTTATGCTGTATTTTCTTAAGTGGTGTGTTAAATGTAGTTTTAGGTTATAACATAATGTTAAAATAGAAACTATGCTATGTAAGGTACTTTTTTAACTATGCTATGTAAGATAATTTTTTAAAGAAAGAACTCGCACCAAGGTAGCAGCCACAGGACACCTAAATCTTTCAGAGAAAAAAGAATTTATTGCTCCATTATCAGAAGAAACGAACTTCCTGCCTTGCTCAGCTAAAGACGCTGTCAGGATTCACAGGAAGAAGCTGACACTGACCAGAGAGAATCCTTTGTTTGAATGGAATTTATGCATCATGTATGAGATGTATGAATATGCAACAGGCTATTTTTTTTTAAGGGTTAATCCTCTGGTAACGGGTGTCCTTTTTCAGGCTTATTTTGCCCAGAAAAATGTACCCAGACCATCCATAACTCTTTGTTTTTATTGTCTCATATTGTCCTAATCCTAATTGTCCAAATTATTATTACTCTAATTATAGCGCTATTTTTATAACCATTTTATTATTATTAAAATTTTAAAAACAAGTGATTGGCGTTTTTCACATGGACTCACATCTTCAACCAGATTTACTGCAGTGAATGAATACATACATATTGCAGTTGCTCTGCTATTTCTGACTCAATGCATGAAACCAATGACATCCTACTTTTTAATATTGTTTATCCTTTCCCCATTGCCTTCCATCAAGCACAGTGCATTTCCATGTGAAATTCATGCTGAGTGGCACAGCTCATCTGTAAATCTTAGATCAGTTTACCCTTTCACTGTTTATATCTATTTCTTTTCTTCATTTGATTGAAAGTGCCAGAACAACTGCTTTCTGTTAGGGTATGACTTGCAAAAGGAGCATTGCTGTGCTATCTGGAAATGGAATTTCAAAATGAGCCTCAAGCAATAGACTTAGCATCTACAAAGGCACTGATTTCATACTTTTGCATAATGTTTAAAGAAATCCCTGCAAGGAGCCATATGGTTTTGCAAAGAATCAGTTGATGAATGGGTGAATGAGTGCTGAGTTGTGTAACTCATTCATGATAGTCCCTTAGGCAAATCCCAATGAGAGCCAGGCTATTTATTTATTTGTTAAAATCAAAGACAATTACATAAAATTGTGTTGGCTGAAGTTGCTGAGTCTCCTTTTCCTTTCTACTTAATGAACATGGCAAATATCCACCATTTAATAATTTCAATATTCTCTTCATCTGGACCTGCCTGATAAAAGGCTGAAGAGAGCCTGAACACTAAAAAATCCTCTCAGCTGCAAAAGTCACAAACTTTGCACCTGCACTGATTTTCCCCAGCTGGTCTGTGCTGTTCCAGGGAGGGGAACACAGAGCACTGTGGAGTGCAGAGGCAGGGCTGAGCACCAGCTGATATCCCTTCAGAACCTCTGAGTTCAATGGTTTTTTTTGTTTACACCTGGTTTCAGCACAGCCTGGGTCAGTAGCTTCCTGTTATGAGGATTGTTGAATCCAGGAGCTGCATTTCTTAAATCTGTACTGAGACATCAGCAGGAGCAACGTGGTGACACTTTGTGAGCGCTGCAGAGTGAGTGACACCTTGCAGGAGCACAGACTTTTCCAGAAGCACTGTCCTTCCACCACCTCTCCAGAGCACCCAGTGCTATCCCTGTTGGCAGGAGCCATTTGCAATGGGGATGTTCTCCTGCAGGAAAGGATTTCCAGACTCCAGACAGCACCAGTTGGTCCATCCAGAGGTCTTCTTCAGTTGGTCCAGTACCTTTGGCCAAACCTATAGACAAGGAAAAACTCCAGAATTTTGTCTGCTGACAGTGATTTGGGTCTGGGTGTTCTTACATTAAAGAAGAACCATTTGTTCCATCACAAATTTAAAAGGCAAAACTGGCGGCTCTAGGAAGGGTTATTTCAGACTTTGTGCAGTACTAAATTATGTGGTTTAGTTCTTTTTATGAAAAAAACATCTCAGTAGGATACAGTTCCACCATTTTACTGGATGATTCTTTGCCGAGAGTTGTTTTCCAGCTTTGCAATAAAGGAGAATGTCAGTCAAAAAGGAACCCCCTGAACTTTTAAGATAGCTGTATTTAGCTTAATGACATGAAATTAAAAAAGGAGGATTTCTTCCCCTTCCAAAATCGAACTTAGGCAAAGAAAGCTTTCCCTACAAATAATTTGGAGCTAAAATAACTTTCATTTCAGGTCTGAAGATACAGAAACATGATAAACACTTAGAATAAATTGTCACAGTTTGTGCCAATTGGGTTGTAAAGAAAATGACCTATGTGAGCTGAAGAAATGCTGAACCAGCAGTTTGAGTTGAGCAAAAGGGTGACAGATATTTCAGAGCTCTGAACTACCTTGTAAGGGGTAAAGAGTACATTTCAACAGATGTTCTCAAAGGGGAAATAGCCTATTCATGAAACCATCAATAATGCAAGGCCAAAGGTGCTTGGTGACCTCCTCTAATTATGTGAAATAGTGACTGTGACAACACTTCAGCCTACTGTAACATTTTATAATTCTGTCATAGGAGGAGATGAATGAACCTGCTCTGTGTGCTCTAGATCACGAATTAAATATCCACTTGTGGGTTGGATGGAGCAGCAATAGCTGTAGGAGAACCATCACAAATCAAGCAGCACCTTCCTACACATAGTTTGTATTCACGTCTAGATTAATTTTAAAAATGATCCTACAGCAATTCCTGAAACTGCACACCAATGTGGACACACTTGATTAGTATCAATGAAGGTAAATTATTTATTTTTTCACTGGAATATCTGTGCAGACTCAAAGTGGAGTTTAATGAGCATTTTCCTGTGTTAGACAAATATATCCAGATCAGGAGTTAACATTTTTACAAGAAGGCACCCAAAAAAGACCAAGGCACACCCCACTGCACTGCCCAGGGGTGTCTGTGGGGGTCAGGGGGATATCAGCCTTTAAGGCAAGGCCCAGATCAGATGTGAAGAAAAAGAACAGCTTGAAGGTTGCTAACAGGTAGAAAAGGAGACTGCAGAGGAAAAAAAGACCCCCAAGGCTACCAAAAGAGGAAATCCAGCCCAAATTCTGTGTGAAGACCCTCTGATGCTAAATCACACAGGGACAGAAATGGCACTTTCCTGCCTGTGTAAATACTGCTTTCAAACATTTGGTGTCAGCAGAAATTCCTCAAACAACCTGAGGGGGCTGGTTTGGGTGTCACAGTGACTCCCTGATGGTGCTTTTAGAAGCTCCTCCTGCCTGGTGGATGCCTGGGCTGTCCCATCCTTGGGGAGCCTTGGGCTGTAGCAGAGCTGCAGTCACTCAAGCTGGTTTCTCCAAACGAGAAACTGCATGGAGCAGTCTCAGATACCCAAATGAATTCCTTTTCTCTTTTTTCCCCAAGGATGTGGAAAGGAGAGAACTGCTCTGAAGCTGCTGAAAGCTGCAGTGCTGCCTCCAGTTCAAGGGGAATGAATCCCACTCCCAACGAGGAACTGCTGCTGCTGTTTCAGGCAGGGATGGGTGCTGGGTCTGTGTGTGTCACACACACTGCACAGGCACGGTCTGCTCTGGGCTTTGCAGGTTCCTGTGTCCTGCTCATGCCCCAGGCAGCTTGGGGACACAGTGACACTGCAATCACAGCAGTGAGTGCTCAGCCATCCATCCCAATGC